ACCAGAATTACCCAGAGATATGATGAGCATATTACAGAGCATTAACTTGAGTTACTTTCCGGGATTCTTACAAAAATTGCATATTTTTACAACTTTTATTCAATAATTACATGTACCTCATAGATTTGTATAACGAAAAAGATAAGTACCAACGCACATAAACTAGTTTGGTTATTCGTCCGTCGGTGACGACGATGACTACTTTCTCACCTTCGTGGTGGGAGGAGTTGACCTGGACAGTGGGAGCGGAGGTGACTGCATGGTCAGGCGGATCCTTGCACAAACAGATGAAGGAGTTTTTCGACTAGAGCCATGCCACCTTCTTTGTAAATCTCAGCTGGGATGGAGTATCCGCCAGGTGTTTTGCCAGTTGACAGCAGACTATTTGCATTCTAAATCTCTTCCAACGTAGCAAGGGCGTCCATTGACTGGTTGATGGGAATCTGGGGTAGTCGGTTGATGGCTTCGTCGCTGATGGTAGAGAGATGGTTCAGAACGCCATTGAAATGTTCCGACCACCTGTCGAGTATCTTTTCCTTCTCTGTGATGAGTGTTAACCCGTCATCACTGAGGAGAGGGGATCAGCCTGATGGATTTGGCCGTAGACTTCCCCAAGTCCACAGTAAAAGTTCTCCCTGTCCTGAGTTTCGGCGTAGCGTTGGATCTCATCTCGTCAGCTTTGGATTCAGCCAGGAATATTTCATATACCAAAGATTTTGTTGTACTGTGCTGCGAGCGTTCCTCAGGGTGTCTTTTTGGCTGTTAAGGTGGGATCATTTATATGAGCCTTGTACATATAAGCGCGATGTTTGTCCTCTAGAAGCTGCGTGATGTCGTCACGGTTCTCAACCATCAGTCTTTGTGCTTTTTTTTATGGAGGGCCAAAGACACTTAAAGGCTGTATTGTACATTGTATTACGAAGTGTGCTCCATGCTGCTGCTAAGTCGTGGTCATCCAGCACGGTGTATTTCAGGCGTTCTTCCAGGGTGTCAGCAAAGTACTGAGAGGTGGAAGGCAATTTGAGCTTGCCAACGTTGAGACGTTTTTAAGCCTTAGTCCCCTGAGGACGTATCCTGTGTTTGATCCGGAAGTTGAGAGTTGAACTTTAGGAACGAAGAGACGGTGATCTGTCCAGCACTCCGTGCCGCACATAGCCTTGGTGAACAAACATACTTTCTGTCTGTCTCTTTTCCTGACAATGACGTAGTCAATTAGATGCCAGTGCTTTGAGCGAGGGTGCATCCATAATGTCTTGTTATGAATGGGAAGGCAGGAAAGGGTGTTAGTGATGAGAAGGCTATGTTCAGCGCAGGTATGGATAAGCAACAGGCTGTTACTGTTGCACGTGCTCTCTCAGTGCTTCCCAATCACACCTTCCCCGGTGGTGGTGTCTCGTTCAAGTCTCGCATTAGTGTCCCCAAGAATTACGAGCTTGACGGTGTTGGGGACGGCGTTGATGACATTGTGGAGGTTCTCATAGAACTTTTTTAGCCTCCTCTGGGTTAGTCAGGGTAGAAACATATGCACTGACAATAGTGGCGGCGAACTTTCCTCGAGTAAGGAGGTCTCATCGTCATCAGGCGGTCGTTCACTCCTTTGGGTACGCCGACATTTTTCTTGTTCTCTTTGTTATTTCGACCGCATGTGTATGGTCCCCACCAGCCGTGGTAAACTGGCTAGGGAAGGGTGGAGCAGGCAAATTTTGGGGTACCTTTTCTGATCCGCTTCCCTTGCCATGGAGGTGAGCAGTGCGTTCCTAAAGAGGGCTGCTCAATCACACAGGTGGCTGGCGAACTCCAACGCTGGTTCGGTCGGTGAAGAGCGACCCTAGGGCCTGTTCCGTCTGTGTGCAGGTCCGCGAACCAGTGAACCCGCACCTGTCGCCTTCGTTCCTCGACTGTCACCACAGGGCTATGGGGTGGAAGATGATCAATGACTTGCGCGATGAGTTTGAATAAGATGAAGGGTTGCGCATCGCCAACCTCACTCTGTCGCCCACAACCATGTAGATCCAGTAGCAACTGGCTAGACATGTCAGGACGCCTAGAGATGGAGATAGATACGGCGGATGACCAAGTTGTGCTATATGTGCCTTGCTTCAAGTATTTCACGGTGCTTACTGTGTCCGCCTTCTTTTCATTTGAACCATGACGGTTTCCTCCACAGAGTCCGCCGGTGCACAATCTTTACATGCGTTATAGGTAGGCAAGCCCTAGGGACTTTGAGACGCGTCAGCGCTTTGTGTAGAGAGAGCTCTTCTAGAGGGATGTCCCTTAAGAGGATACGGGTTCTCTCTACTCGGACTAGTGGAGGGAAGGGGCGTCGTGAGACACTGTCCACTGCCCACAAAGCACATATACTAAGTTTATTGAAACAAATGACTGTGCACATATGTTGCTTAATTTTGATGTCAAAAATACATGTATATAACAAATTACACGTTTAACTTAGATGAACATACAAGTGTCCATTATCACCATGGGTTAGCTTGAGATTAAATAAATAAAACATTTTACGCAAAGGCTCTACGTAAAACCTGACATATTCACAATATCTATGATAAGTAAAGAATATACGCACAAGGTAAAGCAAGGGAATTTTTCTTCAATTTTCATTTTTAGGATAGGGATAAAGATTTACTATGAAATCAAGTTATAAATATTTGTTACTGAAATAATGTTTAAAATGCTAATACGTGATAAAAATTCTTTAAATAAAATGACTGTGCAATATGTTTTTTGATGTGAAAATTGTCACAGTAGTAATTTCTTTCAGCTGATTAAAATGTCAAAATAGCATATTCCACTTTTATGATCAAGGGTAGAATTATACTCCTATATAATTTAGACTGCTCATTACAGAGCCGATATTGAATGATATTAATTGAAAAGGGTAATAGCATGGTCTGCATTCAAAAGAATTTTCAAGAAAATATCATTCGAAATAATATAGAAATTGCGTATTGAAACACCAACCTTCTTCTTTAAAATACACAGCTGAGAGAACGAACAATGTTGAGTCGGTGTATAGAAACGGTTGATACACCATTAAAGCCACAATCAATTGAATGCTATCATACATTTTCTGAAGGTAGAGATGTATGTCCTTAAAAAATTAGCTATGAAAATTATGCACCCAAGATGATACCGATACCGAAAAATTCATGGCCTGGCTCATGGACTAATAGGTTAATTCCATGTGACAAGACCTTTTATGTGGGAACTTGTGAAATTTCAAAAGGTATAAATATGACCTTGACCCTAGAGTTTGACCCATTAAAAAAGACTTTAACCTTGGCATTAACTTTTGTACGGGACGTACTAGGGATTTGTATTCCGTGTGATAAGACTTTCTTTGAAACCAACAATTTAAACCCTTTGACCTTTACCTTTGAGTTTGACATGCATTTGAGAAACTTCAACCTTCGCCATAAGCTGCCATCAGTGTTTCACAAACACATTTGTCTTCATTAATTTTAAGTGGTGGTATCTCCATATGATGGAAAAATTCTGAGAGAGATGTTTTCACAACAAACAAATTACTAAAAAAAACTTGAAACATGAACATGTTGGTCATATCTCTTGTTCTCCCTTGAACCTGAAATGATGATAAGGATATGGAAATAACGAACAGTATTCAATCTCAACGTCCATTAAACAAATATACAAAACAAGAGCAGAGCAATATAAATGGTTTAAAAATAATTATTATAAAAGTTGAAAAAGTTGTGCATCTTAAAATTGATTAAGTTCTGTGATTGAATTAGCTATAAAAGTTTACTAGCTTAATTTTGCTACTCAAAACACCTTGATTAACTATTTTCAATCATACTGTTTTCTGAAATGTTCAGTTTTTTCAACAATGGATACATGTCATACATTTTCAGCTTTTCAAAAAATTGCATGAAAAAAAGCTTTTCAAATACTGTAACCAAGGTAACCCTTTCAAAATTCTTGTGAATCGTACGTTTTAGATCATTTGAGCTTTTCTGGTTTCCTTTTCACATTAAGTCTGTCATCCATCTGTTTGTCTGGAAACTTTTTACATTTTTAACTTCTTCTCTAGAAACACTGGGCCAATTTTAATAAATTCACATTAGTATGTCAGTCTGTCCATCTGTCACAATAAATTTAACCTTGGTCATCACGATCATATCTATTGAATGAGAAGAGACAAGACATCCATATTCAACATACGAGGGTTGTCCCAAAAAGTCGTAGACAGGGAAAACAGTTTTGTTTCTCTTCGCTAAATTAAATTTCTTTCCTTGTCATAGCAAAAAGTAACATTTTATGATCATGCATTTCAAGTTTCATGATGATATCACATTTAATAAGAAAATTATGAAAAAATAAAGAAAGCATATAAGTGTACATCGGCGCACGAAAGCAAACGTAATTTACGTCCTTTATAACGTCATGTCTTCTTTTCTGCTCCACATAACATTCAATATTTTTTTAAGGTGAAAGACCACCCTTGACTAAGGGACTTATTTAAATTACCTACTGTCCGGGTTTTTTTGTATGTTGTTTTTTAAGCAGATTAAAAATTTAGTCCAAGGATCACCTTACATTGTAGGCAGCAGAGAATACATGTTGTTTGATGTTATTCGTGGCCCAGATTGTTCCCCATTGCCTGCGTTTAACAAACAGTACTCTACTTCTTACATGCTGTAACTATTTTCGGTATAGAGGACAAACTCTCATTGAATTTCATGCCATTCAAAAATAAGTTCTCCATTAAAATCTAGTCTGTAATGTTACTCATGTACTCTTTTTACCCGTCTCTGATGTATAAACCATATCCTAAACAATTTATTACTTCTCCGTGCGCCGGTTACGCGTTTGACGACGTCATTTTCATCAGTGACGTATAACAAGGGGACTGCCGACTCCTTCGGAATGTTTCGGATTTTTTCACACTGTTTTTAAATATCGAAGGTTCCGAATGAAACTGATGTTGCTTTCTTCGCAGCGCCCCTACCGGGAGTCATAGAAAAGGTAAACAATATGGCTGATAACGTTATTTTGTAACTTCGCGATGGGGGGAAAACACTGCTGCGTCGTTGGTTGCAGCAATTCAAATGAAAAAACAAAAGGACAGACAAGACACATAAGTTATTTCTCATTTCCGAAAGATCCAGAATGGAGATCCAAGCTGATAGCGGCCGTCAACAGGAGTGACAAGGCATTCAACCCTGAGTGTACATATATATATGCTCCGTGCACTTTGAGGAGAAGTGTTTTTTGTTTCATGGTAAGGCAGCATACAAACAACGATTGAATATATATTTTTTAAATATTTTTTTTTACATATATTAACATCCTAAATGAAATCCTTAAGGGGAAGGATATAAGCTGATACCGGGAAGTCTCCCAACAGTGGCAATGCCAAAGAAAAGCATAGAGACACCCCGCCCACATCCAAGACCTGCACCAGTAAATGATTGAAAAAAAATTGTTTCACACACGTTTAAATAATTTAGTATTTATTTTTCAGTTACGATAATTTCCATAAGTGTTGTTCTATTTTTTTTTTTGGATACTTCTTCTTTTCTGGTTTTGTTTTTGATTTTTTTTTTCAATAGACCCTTACACGGTAACTGTGTTAAATATACGTCATAAAATCATCTCTCAACAAAAAATTATTTTGCCCTGCAAAAGAGTAGTACCGCAGTTATCGTGAAGGAGCTAATTATTTAATATCATTATTTTGCTTATTTGAGGCCGAGTAAATCTTAAATAAAAGAACAGATGCCCTTTCACAAAAAATCCTATGACTCAGATAAAAATCTAATATCTCTGTAATTTTTTGTTTAATAAATGTTGTTTTTTTTTTTTTTTTTTTTTTTGAAATATTTTTACTAAGTAACTTAGTGTAATAGAAATATAAGATAATTTTATGTCCTAGGCTACTACAGCTTTGATACTTGTTTAGGAATGGGAAAGTTTTTATCTTAAATTAGTCGTAAGATTTTTTGTGAAAAGGGTTACCGATACTTTTATTCTTGAGTAATTTTTGCAGTAGGTTGTATAAAAGACTAGTTTTATGGGACATTTTTATTCAGATGATTAAATTTATAAAAATCGATACAGATTCTTTACTTATGAGCAATCTTATAGTGTTATTAGTCACAATTCTATTTGAGACATTAACTTAAGAAATAAAATATCATTTTTAGAGTTTCACTGGGGTATGACAGGAAGTCGGTCACATGATCAAATTCTGTAACGCCCAAAGGGCATTATTATAATTTATGTGATACTTTAGACAAAACGTCCATCGGCACCTATTCCAGAGAGAGTTACCTACAGTTCCCTGTCAAATCTTCAGAAGACACTAAAAAATAAAGACCTCCTTGGCTGGAGCATCCTGAAAACTGACAGTGATATCCTTGTTCTTGGACTATATGATCACTCCTCTGGATGCCTTCAAAAGACAGTTACAGTGGACATTTATTTAAATGTCAATGTCCGCTTTGGGGGTAAAAAATGTGTTTATAAACCTATTAATCCATTTTTTATTAAAACATACTAGTAATGCAAAATGAACTTAATTATTGTTATGCAAAGTGCTAAAGAAAAATACCTGGGATTGATTTTCATCACATGCATTTGGCCTGCACATATGAAAATGAATTATACATTGAAATTTCTTTCATGCAGAGGTACTGGTTAGGATGAAGGAGACAAATCTAAGCAAGGTCCCCATCAGCAACTTCCTCCAAGAAGTGTCTCAAGTAAGGAAGTGCTCGGGATTACCTGATGGCCAGAATTACAGTGGAAAAGTTTATCGATTTGTTTCCACTGTAATAAGAGACAATAAACCTGAAGTGGAAACTATTGTTAGGTAATAGAATCATTAAATTTTTGGATCAAACTTGAATCAAAGAAAACTCAAATGCATGTAATGAGTATTTGCAATTTTTAATATTTTAGAAAAGTAATTTAATACCGATTTATTAAACCATATTTTCTTTTAGAGACATCTTGATTATTTTTTGATTTTTAATATTGAAATGAAGTTCTGTTTAGAGGGTTATACTGTGTTCCTTGAATTCACCCTGTTTTAAATTCGCCCATCAGTGAGTAAGGCAAAAAGGGTGAAAATGAGTGGGCAAAAATTTCCCTGTATAGAGTATTATCCATTTTGACTTGTTAGTACATGTTTAATTAAATTCATTACTGATCATGTTGATAGATCACAGAGATGTGCTGGAGGTGTGAGCTCAGATGACACCACAGCTCTTTGTCCAGCATGTAAGATTCTCAGCAATAACACCATCATTGTGTGGCAGAGTGGTTTTAATAAATAAATAATTAATAAAGAATATTTATCTCAAAGTGTTTTACAGTTATCATTATCATCATTGCACTTTTCACTTTGCATGTTACTAATTCTGACTGGCTGACCTTGTCGACCTTTGACATTACGAGTTACGTAGTTTTATTGGCCAAGGGTTTTGGCGGTAAGTTTCTATTGTTCGATGTGATGTGCGGGGGGCACTTCTTTCTCGCACGGACAGCCAACGTTACCGGCTGTGAGACCATTCTGTCTCAGTGACAACCATATATACATTTGTGCTTACAAGATTTAAATTCGAGTCTTAGTATACAGATCACATTCAGTAAGTTATCTATTTTTCTACTTTTATCTTTCTATCTTTACGTAATATAATTTCTTTGATTGAAAGAGAGAACGAGTGAAGTTTTGAAATAAAGTTCATTGTCTCTTGTAAAGTATTATTTTCAGTAATCATATTGATTATAAGCAATACTAGATATAGATATTGTAATTTGTACAGTTTTATTATTTTTTATGATCAGCTATATTGTCTTGAGATTACGGCTGAACCTATGATTGTTGTTTTTATATAGGTTCTGTATAGATGTATTATTCGAGCCAGCATTTTTGTTAGTGCTCAGCCTGATTCCATAAATTGGTACGCTATAGGAATTATTACTTGTTTTTACACTTTTAATATACTTTGATAAATTACCTAAACTTACGGAAATTTCTTTCTAAACACGATTTTGGTAATTCTGAAATTTGTAAGAGTTATTTCCCTTTTTACGCATTCATGAATTTGGAACATTTATATAATCTGTTAAATCTATTTTTATTAAAATCCGTGTCGATGTATGAGGACTGCATTAAACTGAATATATTGTTTGATGTCATTTACTTATTGTATTTTATTTCTTATAGGGCCGATATTTTCACTTTATTGACTGTTTATATGTGGAACGAGATCCATGGCAATAAAGAATCCATGCAACCCTATAACTGTGTTTTCTTCAATATGACACGGTCACAAATGGCGCCCAACGGTCTTGGATCTACCACATATCGAGACGTATAGACGATTCAGCTACTCAGCCGAGTCCACGTGCAGTGCGGGATTACCCTCTGGAACGTATCCGTGAACATGCCAAGAAATCTCGTCCGATTTCGACAGCGATGGAGTCAATAAAAGTGTAATTGATGCAAATAACCCATATTCCCAAAACGCCAGCAAGACAATTCACGGCAGCAGACTTCTGGGGTGGATCCTAGGTTTTAAGCTTTCTTAGTTAAAGAAAAAAATAAACTTCTACCCCAGGAAGTAGTACACATACCCTAAAAAGTTACTGTCAAAAATCTTTTTTTTACAAAATACGTAAAATGCCAGAGGCACTGCTACCAAAATTTATTTGAAAAAAAAATGGACTGAAGAAAATAAGAAAAAAAACAATCAAAAGAAAATATTCACTTTAAAAAGAAAATATATACATAGCCAATCGGGTAACGTCTACCCATTCAGTACTCGTCTCCATCTTGTTCAACCAGGAAATGATGTAAACTTCCGGAAATTTGGTACTCTTTTATCTATATTGCTACGCGGTACTTCCACAACTACCCGATGTCAATTAACTTGTACTGAGAAAAAATATTTTGAAATTGAATTACATAAAAAAATTGAAAGGCAGCTTATTTTATTGAAGAATTACTTTACTATAACTAATTTCATCCCCCCCCCACCCGAAAAAGACAAGGTGGGGGGGGGGGGGGCAAAGGCCTCTAAATAACTAATATTCTACCTATAATTTTAACCCAGTAAATTTTAAGATCCCTCCCTCAAAACTGCAGACATTAATTGCTTCCGCACGTCTCCCAGGGGAAGAATCACAGATTAATTAATGTTAATTCGGCTTTTATTGAGTTTGCTATACGAAGAGAATGCTAAGGTTTTCTTGGCATGGTGAAAGATCTCAACCCCCCTTCTATTTGTTTAAAATTCATTGCCTATGAATCAAATTCTTTTGATATGATATGTTTAGACACAAAGTGATTTATATATACTGGTAATAATTTTGATTTACTGGACCGGGCGAAATGCATGAAACCCGAAGAACAAAATAACAAACAAACAAAAGTAACACTCTCAAATATTTCTTACTAAAAAATAATAAAAATTATAAAATAATAAGTTCTTTTAACGAGCAAAATCCAAATCATGACAAGGCCAATAATCTTTTACATGTATTCTCTGACTGACTTTAGTAGTATAAGCATCCTAGATAGTGCGGAAGTGAGGTCATAACCGGAAGTGGGCTAACCGGAAGTGGAAGTGGGCTAGCCGGAAGCGGAAGTGGTCTAGCGGAAGCGGTAGTGGGCTAGCCAGAAATGTCCTAGCCGGAAGCCTGCTGGATGGCCAGTTCAACTGACCTAACCCCCCCTAGCCCTAACTAACCCTAACTAGCCCTAGCCCCCTAGCCCTAACCCTAACCCTAACCCTAACCCTAGCCCCTTACCCCC